GGCCCCCGGGGGGGGGGGGGGGGGGGGGGATTATGCCCTACCCCGCCCCATCAACTCGTCGAGGCGGGAGGGGTAAATTGTCATCTCTAAGTGCATTTGTTCAATAAAATACTACACTTCAAGTGCACGGGTCGCGTTCAAGTAATAAAGTGGGCTTTTGGAGTCCTAATTGTCGATCCCTCAAGAAATGTATACTTTCGATTACAAAAATTGTAATTAATCTAATTCTAACAATAGAAATAAACACACACAAATAAAAATTATGGTTTTTGTATAAGGAAATTAACTAAAATCTATAAATTAAGAAATATGAAAATCTTGGGAATTTTCGGAAGCAAACGTGGTTGGAATTCATGGTTTCATTTAACCGTTGCCTAATTAATTTCTCCACAAGCTAATTAAAAAGTTACTCATTTACAATTTTAGACCCGATTTTTCAATTTTAGTTCATTACATTTTTCGAGCGAAATTAACCCTAATTGATTGATTTAACATACTATATCTCTATGTCGATTAAAACCAAACAATTGCATTAAATATTTTGTGAAAATAGCTCATTGGGTTATCTAGAGTTAGAGGTATATCTCTATCCTCTACAAAAATCTGGGGTTTCTATTATTTGGTTTAAAATGCACAATCTTCTCTCGAACAATGTATAATTCATTAAACACAGTCATTCATTGGTCACATAAATGAAAATGCATGTAATACAATAGAAGAAACATATGAAAATAAACAAATCAATATCAAAGGGCAAATATTATAATTAATCAAGGCTAGATTAAACTAAAACCATAAATTCCAACACAAATAACTTAGTTCATATTATATAAATGAATAAAAGGAGAATATTTTACACAATACGCTGCAAACATGTCAAAATAATTAAAAAAATACAAAGTTATAGATACAACCAAATTTGAAGCTTGACTTTGATTTTCCTAAATATTTCTCCAATCTTTAAATATTTTCTCATTGTGCTTTATGATTTGCTCCCAAAAGTACCAAGGAAAAGAAAAGAAAAAGAAGAGAAAAAGGAAGAAGAAAGAGAAAGAAAAAGAAAAGAGAAGTAAAACTAAGAAGAAGAGAGGCTAGGGTTTTCTTTGCAAGATGAAGAATGATGAGAAAATGGTTGAATTTACCTTTTAAAAGGTCCAAAAATCGTGTTTGGTTAATTGCAAAATGGTCCTCAATTAAAAAATCTAACCAAACAAGTCCTGGTATGCAGTCGCGGCATTGCGGCGCTGCTACAGTGCCACCTCCCATTTTTTCTTATTTACAGCTCAGGTCCTCCTTATATTTGAATACTAATTTCCTCAACTTTGAACTTGTACAAATTTGTTCCTAGAAATTTTGACTTTTATTTCAATTTTTTCCTCCAAAATTGCAACTTCAAGTCCTTGGAACTTTCGGTCCTTTTGCATTTTGGTCCCCAACTTCACAAATTTGCACACTTTTAGTCCTTTTTCACTCCATTTTTCCTCATTTTGCTTTGTTCTATTTCCTTTGTGTGATTTTACCTACAAAAGCAAATATTATATAATTGTGAGTGGAATTTCATTCATTTAATCAATTAATAACATATTTAGATATTAAGACCCCGTTTGGTAGTCATTTTTTTCAAAATGTATTTTTCTCTTTCTTCTTTTCAACCAAATATTCTTTATTAATATAATATTACACGTAAATCAAAATTTTTTCCTTATTTCTCAACCATACATTTCACATCAATTTACTATTCTAAAATGCATTTTTACATAAAAATGTCTATCAAACACCCCCTAAATAAATGTGTAAAAATACACTTATTAAATACTCCCAAATTTAAGCTCTTGCTCGTTCCGAGCAAGATTATTAACTATCACAATCATGTAAAATGAGATATTGATCAATACATTAGATAGCTTGCTAAAAATATCAATGAGTGTAAAATTGTATAATCAATTCACAAATATGCTCCAAGTAATTCTAGCAAAAATAATTTAAGCTTATCCAATGTTCGATCGGTGTGTGTGTGTGCGCGCAAAGTCACTTTCAATCATTATCTAAATTAGGAAAAAGTTGTCAAAACGAAAAAATCTTCAAATTGGCTCCAACTCGACCTTTTGTAGTCAAATATTTCTTTTCCCACTCGTGAGATTTACACTCCTTGAATGGCTATTCATTTTCTTTCCCCGGGTGTAAATTTAAAGGTTGTTCTCAATCACTTATTTCTTTTTCCGCTCTAGTTTGGTTGGGTCTAACCAGTAATTTCAATATCTAATTATGTGATGATTCTCCTCTAATAAGTTCTTCACATTCAAGCTTATACTAAGCAATTCAAACCCACTAGTTATCTAAACTCAATTATCAATAACAATTTTTTTTCTTTTTATTCTTCTCTCTCTCTTTCTCTCTATTTAGCCGAATCCTATGTTTTACCTCACTCCCTTAAGCTTTCTTCTTGACCCTTATAACGAGCTTTAGGTTGATAACTTCTCGATTGTTTTGACCAAAGAGTACTGGGTTTCAAGATACCTCTATGGAATTAATAACTCGAGTAAAAAAGGCTACAAAATGAGGCCCAAGATTCAACAAGTGCAATAACATTTTTTTAAGCACAAAAAATGGGGCTTAGATCCCTTGCATATGGTCATTACCTAGTTTATACTCGGGAAAAGACACTCCACACAAGTATTTTCAACATGCACGAAATCACACACTTCTAGATAATATCTATCACCAGTTCAACCATCCCCAAACTTATCTCGCAATATGGTTATGTGAAAGAGAAATTGATATAGGTTGATATAAATTTTCAAGCAACTCACAACCTAGTTCTTACCAATTCAAAGTCTCTCCATCAGTAAAAAGTTTTCCACATCTAAATAACATTTAATTATGACTATTGGCTCAAAGTAATTCATGATCTTACAATAGATAAGCAATTTTTTCAAAAAATCTAGGCACAAATAGTATACTTGGTCATGCATAGCTCATGAATCAATAACAATTTCAAACATCAAAACCATGCTAAGCTGACAAAACTATCTAACATGTCAACACTATCACCAATTTAAGCACAATCACCCCCAAACTTAAATTACACATTGTCCTCAATGTGTAAAAAACAAGATAAAGAGGAGAGGGATAACAAAACTTCCCCGATTTTATATTTATGAAGAGACACCAATGCTTGAATTGGACTTGTGATGCTTTCAATGAACTTTGGTAAGTGATCTTTTTGTACACAATTTAACCCCAAACGTGTGAGGAACCATGTATGATGGACTTCAAAAATTTCCTACAAAAAATGATAGCTA